TAGACCTTGTGTTAGGTTTCTCTAAATTTCTAGTAGAGGCACATGGCTGGGCAGGAACTGCAGATCTTGGCCGCCTGGGCAGTTTGTGCGCCACACTGCAGCGTGTAAGGAGGACACCCATGATGAAGCCTGCCTGCCTGGTAGGCGTAGCCACCGTTGAGTCACTTTTGCTGAACTTATTTTCCTCCTACCTAGCTATTTCTCCATTTCTTTACTTGTTTTCACATTCAGTCTTTATTTTCGTGCTTTTAATTTTGAATAAAATTGAACAAAGATGTTTACTTCTTTGGGGGAGGGGGGACAGTCATGTTGGAACCAGGAGGTACAATTCTGTCAGGAGCCAGAGCAGTACGTGTGAGTGTCTCTTTCTCTTCCCCTCTGCTCCCCTCTTATCACTCTTGCCCTTCTCCATTCCTGTTGTCCTTTCTCTCTGCTTCTCTTCGTTTGTGGCCCAAGCCTGACTGCCTCAGCTCCCTATACTCCTTCTCTTCCTCAAATAGCCCTAACCCACAGTGTCTCAATTCCAAATACAAAGAACCAAATTTCGAATTGGTCTAGTGAGCCAATGGGCTGCTTTCCTCCTGGGCCTGAGAAGGTGGGGCTCAAAAAAGCGAAGCCTAGGCTAGGTTGATCACAACAAAAGGTGTCTACCACAAACTCAGGACACACAAAAACAATGTAACATATCATTGGGGTCCAAGCTTAGTTTACAATGCCTGTTTGAACCATATTATTGCAAACTATTTACTTGCAATGAGAAAAGAAAACTGTGAAATTTAAAAATTAAAGATTGAAATTACATAATGGAACTCTCCCTCCCCTCCCCAAGATTTTTAAATGGTTGCGTAATATTTCTGAGTAAAAGTATTGTATTTATTTTAAATAATGATTTTGCTATAAGGTGTAGATTTTAGCACAATACCTGAAAGGACCATCGACAATAATAATAACTAGAGCTTATTCCGTGATTACTGTTGCCAGACTTTGTGTTTTATGTATACTATTTCGTTCAGACCTTGCAATAGTCCTGTAAGAATAGGTATTATACTCTTATTTTTCCTATTTTAAAGATGAGAGGACTGAGGCACAGACAGGTTGTCATTAACAGAAGTTGCAAGGCTGGTTAAGATTAGAGCCAGGATTGGAATCCAGGAAATCTGGTTCTGGAGCCTGTACTCTGACCTGTCAGCTACCCTGCCTTTATCAGAGGCCTGCAATTAGTTATTCCAGGTAATCTTAATCCAGAGTGGAGTGTGAGTGCTAGTTCTCTGTATTGGAAGTGTTCAAACAGTCTGGAGCGCCATTAGACAGGGCTGTTGTAGGGGAAATGAGGAAGTTTATTAGTGATCTCTGGATGACAATCCGTGGACCCGCAGCCTCAGAATCTCCCAGGCCGCTCATTAAAAACCATAAATTCCAAAGTCCAAACCAGAGGTTCTGATTCAGCTGGTCCACAGTGGGTACCAGTAATCTATTTTAACAAGCTCTCTAGATGATTGTAATATTCAACCTGGTTTGGAAACTCTGAACTTGGTAAACTTTTATTGCCACCATTATCATCTAGGACCAGATGGTAAATGAAGACTTTGGGGGTTGGTTCAAGGAATTCCTTTTGGTCATTATGCCGTTAAGTTCTTTCAAGATTGTTGGCATCAGCTCTTTTTGTGTCAGAATATAAATACTAGTAAATGCATGTCGATTTGAATAAAATTAAGATCCCTGTTGCACAACATTCATTAACTAACAAAGATCTATCACATACTTGATGAAATTTAATCTAATCTCCATCAGCAAATATTTATTGAGCATCTGCTAGTTATGAAGCATGGCAATAAAAAATATAGTCCTGTGCTTCCAGGGCTCATAGGTGAGATGGGATAGACTGCCTGGCAGTACAGAGCAGCATATACTAGAGCCCGGTGAGTAGCGTAATGATGAGGGCTGTAGGGCGCCTGGGAAGAGCCGTCCTGCGTCCAGGTATGTGCTGGACCAAGTGGGAGGCAGAGCCAGGCCTTGAGAGGAGGCTGAGGGAGGGTGCACGAAGAAGCGATTCCGCACAGCAGTAACGCTGCCGGGATGCCACCTGCCCCAAGGTGGTCTCCTCTCGTGCAGGCTGTTCATTCCCCCAAAGCTTCTGCATCTCACAGCAGGGAGAGGGAGTCCTTTTCATCTCTTTCCAGTGTCTTCTACCCTAACTGCCTTGATCCCAGGGGAACACCACTGTTCCCACTCCAGCCTCTCAGTTCTTTGGCCTCTTCACGTTGGACAAATGTCTTCTTCACTCACTTCACTCACTCCAATTCCCAAGTCCACCTCCAATTTTGCTGTCGCTCAGACTGCTCCCCTCCAGAATCAGGAACCCGACCCAGCGCTCTCCAGCCCCCGCCTCTCATTACTACACCTTGGGGCCCTTTTGCCTGCATACCTCCTCACCAGTGATCCTTCTGCTTTTACCCTGCCCCCTGTCCCTTTACCTACACACTTCCGTTCCATTCTCGAATCCTGTCTGTCCCTCAGGTCCTGTTGCACATCCTGCTTTCTCGGGGAGGCTTTCTGGAATGAGGTGAGGTCTCCGTGTTGGATACTCCTGCAGCATCCTGTACTTCCTCCTGGGTAGCATTTAGCATATTTTATATGTATTTAGTGTCTAGGTCCTCTAGCCGACTGAGCTCCATGAAGGCTGAGATAGTGTCTGTAGTACCATAGGTTGGCATATAGCAGGTGCTCAGCAGAATACTGTTGAGTAGATGAAAATGTGTATCTCTAATCTAAAATATTTTAGTTTGTGGTCATTTCCAAAATTAGAACCACTGTTCTAAACTCAGTGGTGGGCAAGAGTGTAGAGGAAGGGAATGGCTAGATAAGAAATGCAGTGCTATTAGAATAAAATGGAGTGGGGGGTGGGGCATTATTTGTTTTGTTTGTTTTTGTTTTTCCTACAGAAAGGGCAGGCCTCCAGCCTAGAGCCTTCAGCCGAGGGCAGTATCTCTGACAGTTAATAACATTACTTTGCTTGCAGTGTGTTTATGTGTACAGTTACTTTTATCCACAGACGTGGCACAGACTTTCCTTCTAAAATAAATGTATGAAAGTAAAATAATTAGTTGATTTCAGAAAAAGTATAAATAATAATTTGGTACACAGATATAGCAAGAAAAATTATGATAGTAGAAGAAATGAGTGAAATTTGGAAAATGCTTACTTGGATGAATCCACAGGGACTCCTTATCAAAGTCCTGGGGAACACCTGAGCCCAAGGACTTTAGTGTCGTTTTATGGGGTTTGGGGAAGAAATGGAAATAAACACATGTGTTTAATTATTATGTATAACAGAATGTGAAGTTCTTTGTTTTATTCTAAATTATCCATCCTTAAGTTTGAAATATATAGAAACTGGATATAGAAAATTATTGTCATCATTCAGCCATCCTTTCAAGGGCTAACGAAAATCAAATGACATTTACAGCTTATTATAATTCAGACTTTGAGGAGTTTAATAGCAAAATACAATGATACATCGCTTTTTATATTATTACATTATTAAGAAGCTTTCATGTTAAGTGTAAAGGAAAGTAAATGTCATTTCCAAAACTAATTATTTTGGGCCCTTATCAGAAATAAAACTAGGTGTTTCATCTCATATTTTATACAAATAAAAGTTGAAATTTTTCTTTGAGAGCCAGTGATTTAAAAAAGGAATCAAATTACCAAGAAGATGATAATCACATAGACCCTTAAACTGGGATATCAGTGTGCTTTTTATTCATGATATTTTACTCTTCTTTTAAATCTGTCTGGTAATCTTCCCTGTAGCTTATATTTGCATTTCTACCAACTAGACATTTAGGATGTCATTTGTTCCCTTAGCTAATTTTGCAGACTTTGAGCTAGAAATTTGGTATTCTTACAAAACGGTTAAATGTACCATATTTTATCTCTTGATATTGAAGAAACTATTAAAGGAAAATTATTTTGTCTAACATTTTTGCCCAAGAGGGAGTTCCTGTAGCCTCAGAAGTCAATATATGTATATTTATGTATATTTGTAGATATGCAATAGTGCAATTTTCTTTCTGATATTAAAACAAGAGAACTACCTCAACTATCTCTGCATTATTTATATCTACTATAGCTATCTATGTACTTGAACTACTCAAATTCTGAGCTCCATGGTTATGATTATAATGTACCAGTTGGTTTACATTATTGATATAACATGATATTGGTGCAAGTTGAAATGAAAGATCATTAAGCTAAATATTTTAACCTTCCTTGGCTCCCTGTTATGTAGAATTCGGCGTGAAATAGAATCACAGAGTTTCAGAAACAGAATAGTCCTTAAAAATTGTCCTATCCAGCCCCTCACTTGACAGATGATTAAACAAGCCCAGCTGCTTGCCACTGTTGCACAGCCAATTAGTAGCACAGCTAGGACCAGAATCTAGGTCTGCCACTTCCCAATTCAGCGCTCTTTCTACCATCTTGTGTGCGAGTTTTTAGGTGGTGGTCTCTATTTCACTCCCTGATGTTTATGCCAGTTAGTCTAATTAATTTTATATCATTTCTAGAACATAGAGTTTCACGCCATTGTGAGTTGCTTAAACTTCATATCTGGCTTTCTTTCAGGTTGGTCTCCACTCACATCTTTTAATCTTGAAGACTTCAAAATACACTTGGGCCTGCCACTTTTTTGGAAAACTCCAGTACCACGCAGTAAATTACCCACTGTTTTCTTGTTATAGCATAGAAGCTTTTGAGTTCTCCAAACCTAAACAAGATTTCCTCCCGTTTTTCCATGAAGCCATATTGTTTTTTATTCATTTTAATAGTGAGTGTTATTATGCCAGATGCTTTTGTTTTGGAAGATGTGGACTTCAACATAATAAGCCCATTGGAATCAAATCATAGTTCCTTCAATGTATCATTTCCCCCAAGCTTTGAACTCTCAGCAGGCTCCCACTCAGGTGATGATGTCATCATAGCCAAAGAGGGAGCTAGTGTTTCCATTGAGTGTCTTCTCACCGTCGACCACTATAAAGATGTCCATTGGTACAACTCAAAAGGACAGCAGCTGGATGACAGAGGCAGAGGTAACTATGCCAGGGTATAATGAATCAAGGTCACTCATTTCCTGTTACTTCTCTTCTTGGTTTCATGGCATATTCAACCAGAAAGCTCAAAGGTGAGGTACCAGGGTGAATAGTTAAAACTTTTGAAAGATCTGGAGTATTATACCTATCAGAAAAAGGAAAATAATTATAATTAACCAGAAGAAAGAAGAAATAAGGAATAGTTACAAATTTAAAAGGCGTTCACATGATGACTAAGCTGTTTCCTCTCCTCTTAGTGAGTTGGTTTCCTTTTTCATTGAAGGTGGACTACATCAGGGCTGCTGCATGCAGCTGTGCAGGCTGTGCATTGCACAATTCCAGGGGCACCATTCTCCTAGGTTGTAATGTGAGTAGTACAGTGTTGTGGTCCTGTGTGGACATAGCAAGAAGGATTTGGACTAGACAGAAGGAAATTAGTCATAAATAAAAAAATGTTTACTCAGAAATGAGTTACTAAAAATGTTAGAGGAAGTCCAGGGTTTTTTTTTAAATGATGACAGATCTGTGCATAAAACTTTTAAGTCCCTCTGAGAATTAGAAGGGTGCTGAGGAGGAGCTCTGTAAGCCCTTCCAGCTCATTTTTTTCCTATTCTATACCTTAATTTACTTGAAAACAGGAGAGTTTCTCTTGTATTTTTTTGCCTCAGTCTTAAAAAATCACAGACATAGTAATGTGACCAAGGTCTACTTTTTTACAGGTTTTTATTTGATTTTGCTGTTTGTGGACCTGTGAACACATCTTAATCAGAATACTATCTCCTGAACTAATGTTCTGTTAGAAAGATTTTTTTTTTTGAAGGCTACTTTGTGTTCAAGCACCTCAAAAAGAAATCAACAGGAAAAATCAACGGGATAAAGATTTAATTCTGGGATCCCTACAAGCTACACTTTCAGAAAAGTTTCCCTATTATTTATTTATTTATTTATTTATTTATTTATTTATTTATTTATTTTTTGCTAGAAAGATCATCTAATCTCTTGGAATATAAAGGATGTTTGGTTATTCGTATTAGAGTAGAAAACAGGAAAGGAGACAGGCGGTGTTTCCTTCTGAAGTGTATGCTGAACATTTTAACCTTCTACAAACTGAGTAACTGGTCTCCAAGGGATTGAAGAGTTTGAATTGTTAGAATAGTGTTTTTTAATTAGCTTCTTAAAAACATAGAGCTATTAAGTCAGAAGCTCTAGAATGATGCCCAGAATGTGTGTTTTGAACATTATACAGGGTTCCACATTTGGACCCACTAAACTAGACTCTTACCACCTTTGGGCTGTAAGATCCGGACCAAAGACACCTAAAATTTGAATTATTCAATTAATGTGATAATTACAGACTGACTGCATCAACAAAGCTTAGGTTAGGAATGGCAGTTTCATTTTCCTATTGGCCTTTACTTTGAAAACCACTAACATCTACCATTGATGTTTTCAACAGCAGGGCAATTGTATTAAATTTTATGAATCTCAAGTGAAAGGAGTTTAAAGAGCATGTCAGTCTAGTATAAGGTTCATAAATCTTGAGCTATTATCAGCAAGTGAGTTAGAGAGTTTAGATTGTGGTCGTAACATAGTGGATGATGAATGGAATATATAGTTCATCATACCTTGGATTCGTAGCATATCCGTTTCATAGCTCCACGTTCATAGGACAGAAGCTTGTGGAATAATGACTATATTCATAGCTTCATATTTTCCTCCTGTTTTTACATTGGTGAAGTGATGGCTCTTAAATATAACTATGGAATGTAGACAGGTTTTGATGATGATGAAAATGGACACAGTCCAGAATGCTTACTAATGGATGTGCCACTAAAATAATCCAGAACCATAGAATCTCAGGGATGAAAGAGGTCTTGAAGATTAGGCATTCAGGTGATGCTTAAGAAGCAGTTGCTCAGTCTTCTTGGACATCATCTCTAGTCATTGGGACTCACACCTACAACCCCGATTGGCCCATTCATCCCATCTTTGAATGGCTGTCATAGTTAAAGCACAGAGTACACTGTGTATTTACCACAAATGTGAGAATTGTGCAGGCAGAGCCAAGCTTTAAAGGATGGTGCTGAATCAAGGTGGGTGGTCAGTATGCTTTGCTTTTCCTACTCTTTTATACTTTTGTGTACATGTTCCCTGAATGAAGATACCTTCATGTATGGAAGAGAAGTGGCATGTTTTAGGTTAAAAACAGAAGTCTAGGCATCTTAAAGGCATCTTTATTCTGTTTACCAAGCTGTTCATTTATTTGATTTGTGAGATATATCTTTTGGCTTGTGCTTCAGTTACTCTTGCCAGAAAAATCAAGATGTGATCATCTACAAACGCTTTCTAACAAAACAAATTAACATGTGCAAGGCATGCCAGATTAGCCAGTTAGTAATTGAACAATTTCATTAAATCAGTAGGGTTGTTTTTTCAAAAGAATTTTTGTCTCTTGTTTTATAAATTCATTATCAAAAGTAAGCACAGTTAAAGAAAAAGAAAGTAAAAATTACTTATAACCCTCACCCCAGAAATGACCATTGTTTTATGTTTCGGAGCCATATTCTTCTAGTGTATGAAAACATACAGGTAGAGATTGTGGTGTAGACACACATACAGGCATACCTTGTTTTATTGTGCTTCACTTTATTGCGCTTCACAAATGTTGCCTTTGTTTTTTTAACAAACTAAAGGCAAGACCATCCACCAGCAAAAGGATTACGACTTGCTTTATTGCAATACTCGCTTTGTTGAGGTGGTCTGGAAGCAAACCCGCAATATCTCTGAGGTATGCCTGTATACATATAAACATTTGTTTTAAGATTCGTCATTTAGCATTATATAAACAGACCTGTCTCCCTGAAAGGCTTATTACATTTGGTAGTGAAAATGTAGCTATGATAATCATTACTATCTAAAAAGAAGATCTTGATTCCCTTTTGAAGTGCCAGGCTACTTAAATTCTGACTCCATGTAACTATTTGCCCTTTCTTACATGATTTGAACAAATGGCCGAACCTCATAGATGAGTTGAGTTAAAGTACTCTCATGAAGGAGTAGAATATTGATAAGGCAGTTGGCATATTTAGTGCTAATATTCTTTATGCTATAATTTTTTAATTTCTGTTGGGTTATCAGGTGGAAAATGGCTGGTTTCTGATAACTTCCTGAATATCACCAATGTAGCCTTTGATGACCGTGGGCTCTATACATGTATCGTCACCTCTCCAACCCGTGCCTCCTACTCTGTCACCCTGCGTGTTATCTTCACCTCAGGAGACATGAGTGTCTACTACATGGTTGTCTGCCTCATTGCCTTTACGATCACTCTCATCTTGAATGTCACACGGCTGTGCATGATGAGCAGCCATCTTCGTAAGACCGAGAAGGCTATCAATGAATTCTTCAGAACGGAAGGGGCCGAGAAACTTCAGAAGGCCTTTGAGATTGCAAAACGTATCCCCATCATCACCTCGGCCAAGATGCTGGAGCTCGCCAAAGTCACACAATTTAAAACCATGGAGTTTGCTCGTTACATTGAAGAACTGGCAAGAAGCGTCCCTCTTCCACCCCTGATCCTAAACTGCAGGGCCTTTGTTGAGGAGATGTTTGAGGCTGTGCGAATGGATGACCCTGATGACATGGGAGAAAGAATTAAAGACAGACCTGCCTTGAATGCTCAAGGTGGCATCTATGTCATTAACCCAGAGATGGGGCGGAGTGATTCACCAGGAGGAGATTCGGACGATGGTTCTCTGAATGAACAAGGCCAGGAGATAGCAGTTCAAGTTTCTGTCCATCTTCAGTCAGAGACCAAAAGTATTGGTACAGATTCTCAAGACAGCAGTCATTTCAGCCCGCCTGACGATATGGGATCTACTGAAATGAACTCCCACTACAAAGATGGTGCATATGAAAACTGCCAGCCGTGAGGTATCCTAGTACCTATGGAAGGGAACCTGTGTCATGCAGGAAATAACATTTTTACCAAAAGATGACTGGGGTTTTCCCCTTGTTAATATTAAGCACATCAGAACATGGATTATTGCCAAAATCTGTAAAAAATGCAGCATTTTTCCCTATCTGATATTTCTCAGCCATTTTCCTTAAGCTTGATTAGATGATGCACATTAAGATTTAAAGGATCCTGACAGGTAACGTAATGGAGAAAGTACAGCACTAAGAGTTCCATGGCTTCTCATTCTGATCATGGTTCTTCCATGGGTTGGGGCTGACACTTATCTTGAGGACTCAGTTTTCTCACCAGGAAAATGAGGGATTTGCATTAAGTGATATCTAGGGCCGGCCGAGTGGCTCAGTTGGTTAAGAGCTCGCTCAAGAGTTTGAGCTCTGAGCAACAGGGGTTCGAGTCCAGCCCGAGCTGAGCAGCCGCTGAGCTGCCAACAGGTAGCAGGATGGCTCAGCTTAAAAAAAAAAAAAAAATGGTATCTAAAGTTGTTCCTAGCCCTATAACGTCTTACCTGTCACTTTTAAACCACCGAGATCTTCAGCACATCAGTAAATAAGCCCTTCCCTAGACTTTTACTCCCTTTTTATGGAGAGGACCAATTTCGTTGTTTAGATTTCTACACCAATGCCATAGTGGGTGAAGGCGTGGGTGTTTTTCAGACATTTTATCCCTGTGGTGTGTGTAAGTGTATGTGCTCGGTTGAATCTTCTCAGTGTAGCCCATGTCTATATTATACAGATATCAGGGAGCCAACTGCTCAGTCCTAAACTACTTTCCACGAGTACACTGGTCCTTTGGGGGATATATCATGTCTTTTTAACTTACTGAGGCGTCATTTAGCTCATTGAGCTGGCAGTGATTTCTCAACTAATCTCCATAAGTGAGCAGTTTGTTCCTAAGGAATAATGTCTTCAATGCTTTTAGAATAAGAAATAATGTCAAATCATCTGTCTCTGGTAAAACATAGATTTTGACATTTCTGTTAATAGAATTTCTCAGGCTTTCTCTTTTTAAAAGTACTGGACTCTAC